TAGGTACTATATATCCCGTGAAATTACATGAAATTCATATTACTAAAACTTATGTGAAATTACATGTATTGTAAATTCGTAAAATGTAATTTTCAACCCTAAGTGAAATACTTATGTTCCTGCGTTAATTTTACCATTACACAGACCCAAACCTTAAGCCAAAATTATGTATAATGCGGCCAAAATTTTGTCAATCACAGCCGTTGGAAAATCAAAATTGAGGTTCAACAGCGCGGCACCTAGATTTAATGAATCCCGCGCGTGACGCGCGGGATTTTTTGAAAAACCGCGATTTGCCCATCTCTATTACGGAGTGAAAACGCTAAACTTATTTTCGTACCAAAGGTAATCTACTTTGCATGGCCGACTGAGTCGAAATTTTAAATTTCAGCTTAGTCGACCAATTCAGGTCAACTACAAACAATAGTACGGAACAGCTTCAAGAACAGGAAACAAATAACTGCGGGACTTGTTTAAACCCCGATACTTGTTCTGCTTGGTTTTTTCCAGGACTGATCCACCCTATTATTTTATGTTGGTTGATTGACCACCTTACCAAATTATTCCAACTATTATATGTATCAATTTGCTTTTATTAGTTTAATTTAAAAATAAGACTCAGAGGATCGTTAAATCCATCTAGATGTCTGATATAATAACGATAAGATAAATATCCGAATATGGTATATGAATAAACAATAGGTAATTGTGCGACGTAGCCAATATTTCATGAAATCCATATCACGTTATTTGTTTTATGTTTTGATATAATAAACTATATGCGCTGTTAAATAAAAATCCGCGAGTATTGGGCTGAGCGAAGAGAAAAGGATCAGAAGAAATTAAAGGTTTAAGAATTTAGTTCCTAGGCTACTTTTGTAGCACATTAGTAACCAAGTCTCATTGAAAATATATGATTGCTATTATTTTTATGGATCAAAATTAAAATGCAAGTAATTCTCGTTATCCCTTAATCTGCAGATAGGATGTTACGGTCTGGCCTTAGTCCTAAAGACCGGTCCTAGGGGAGGATTATGGACCGGACCGGGTCCAGGACCGGTCTATAAAGTAGGCTATGTGGGTTTTAATGTCCACTACATATAAAAACGACAAATTAATTGATGTTAGCATTGTCAAGTATGAAACTTTAAAAACACGTTACAAATTTTATACCGATATCGGTTGTAGAGGTTGTATTATCGTTTGACATAAAATTTGTCATTTTTATTTTTATATTAAAAATTATTATATCTAAAATTCAGTATTGCTCATTTCGAATTGTTGACTTACAGTTATCATCGTGAATCCTGAAGGATGCTAAAATTATCTTGCCAAAAAAGATCAAACAGGTCTTGGATCATAACGAAATGGCAGAGACAGTGCCCAATTAAAATTGAATCCTTCTCGCCTGTGGTCAATCACAAATTAAATTATTTTTGTAGAATTCAATTGTGATAGATACAATTACTCACCGTTTTAATATGTGTAACATTAAAGGTTTCTGCTATATCATAACGATAATACCAGTATGATCACATGAATGTGTAACATGAATAGAGATAGGAAAATCGAGGATTTTTCGAATCTACTGCACCAGCTGCGCAGCCTGCACAGGCCTGCATTACGGCTAATGTAGGCCAAAATTGTTAAATTCAGTGACATTACGAATAATTCCTGGATTCTGTGAAAATATGCCTGCGCAGTGTCCCATATCTAAATATGAAATGTGAAGGGTTGGTTTTTTTCAACTTTATCGATGCTACCCCATGTAATTTACTAAAAATCGGTTTCATTGGTGATTTTGATATACATATTGACTGTGAGATTAAAATTTTTAGTGTAACTAAATTTGATCTACAGTCACTCAACAGTGCTCTGGTGCCGAATGACTAAAGAAAGTAGATAACACATTTATGAAAGAGAACTTACAAAAGGCAAAAAGCCTAAAACCAAGGGCTTGTGTTCTTGTTTTTTAGAAAAGAAGCACAGCTTGCCTCATAAATAGGGAAACCAAGAAGAAAATTATAAAAATCTGTGTACTCAGTTAAAGGCAGTTATAGATGTAACTATAAGAAATATTAAGAAAACAATGGTTTTCAAACAAGATATTCACAAAGAACTCAGCTTTCTGAAACTCACTATAGAAAACATATTTCAAAATATCTAGTTTGATAAAATGGACCAAGTATACTAGACAGAACAAGTTCTTAATAATAATTAAGCAGAGGTTAAAAAAAACATTCTATCAGAAAACTTGAAAACACAAACTAATTCTTCAAATGAATTTTCTAAAACTTTATTAGATAAAAATCTGAATCTAGATTAGATGATTACACTAGAAAATGAACAATTAGATCAGAGTAATAAAACAGAAAGTATCAATTCTAGAATATAAGACTTAAAGTTTTTATTTAGTTTATTTATAAAATTATTAAAAGAAAAAACAAATTATTATATTTTCTCATTAAAGAAAAGCTTAAACATCAAAAATATCAATACTTTTATTTTTTATATTTAAATATATCTAAATTTTCTACCAATGAAATTATATTTATAACTTACAACATACTAAAAGTTAACTTTATTGAAACAGTATTATATTTTACTAAAAGAACCTGTTTTTACTTAAAATTAATTTTTGTAAACAAGCAGTTAATAAGAAAATACATAACTAAAGGAATCATAATCTTGAATAAACCTTGTTTGATTACATGTCTACAAGATCTTAAAAAACTTTTTTGATAATTAAATTTCAAAAACTACTATTAACAAAATACAAAGTTATATTAGATAAAATAAGAAAGACATATTTGAATTTTGAAAAAATAATATTAATTAAAGCTTTGTTATATAAGAAAACCTCTATACTAATAAACTTTGTTTTTTTATATAATACAAGTAGGAAAAATAGTAATACATGAATATATCAATTGAATATAAATATATAAATGAAATATTCCTAAACTACACTATTGTTGCTATATATATAATAACATCTAGCATGATATTAACCTTTAATTTTATGTTTTAGTTAAATCTACTATCATAATCATTAACTACAAAGGAGGGTAAAAGGAACCCTTAAGATTATTTTAATTAGTAAAAGCAGGTATATATAATAAAATTTTGAGAAAGAGTTTTAAAAATAAATTAGTCTATATTGATGTTGAATATGGATATATTGTTATTGAAGTTAGAAGGTTGTATAGTAGATAATCAAACATTGTTTTACTTTTTAGTGAAAGCAGTAATTCCTCATGCTAATTCCTATTTATGTTGTTTGGTATTATGAGTTTTCCAGATAGTAAGGTTGAAACAGTTGAGTAAAGAGTTAGATAAAGAGATAAGAAAGTTGTTAGTTAGTTTTTTTTAGAATTTGTCAAAGTTGTTTATATTAGTCAAGTGTTATTGTGCCTTGAATAAGTAAAAGTATTGTATTATATATAGTAGAGTTTGGAAAAAGATTTTATAAATTGAGGATTTGAATTATAGTATGTGATGAAACTTCTGAAAAGTTTAATGAGTTTAAGATATTTGTGGTTTATTGATAAGAATGTTTTGTAGATTGTAAGTATGAAGTAAGCATTGAAGTAAATGTTCAGTGTTTTTATATTGATTATAATAGGAACAATTTGGAGTTAAGTAAAGTAGAGAATAGTAAATATTTAAATTTGATATTGTTGGCAAGTTATTAAGAAGGATTTTATTCCTAATTGAATAAAATTTCAAATTAGAATTTTGTGAATTAATAATTTCAGTAAATAGTAGAATGTTTATAGTAAAAAGATTTTGTAATAGTTTAAATTAAAGAAGTTTGTTAAATGTTTAAATAGAAAAGAGGTTTTTATAGAATTTATGAAGTTTGAAGGTAATTGGTATTTCTTTCCAAGTAAAGAAAATAGGTAAATAAAAATGGTCAAGGTTATATTTTAGTTTTGTTTTTTTTACATTTTGTTTAGCTAAAGCATCAGTAATATTATGTAAAGTGTTATTTGAATATGATTTAACTTTGTACATAATATAATTTATATTTTTAAGTTTGGTTAGATAGTTTAGAATATGAATAATATCCTAGTTATTTTGTTTAGTTTGAGAGTTGTGGTTATAAAATATTGAATTAGTAAGAGTTTGTATAGTAGATAAGTTGTCTAAATGAATATGAAATAAATAGTTGGAAAATAAAATAAGAAATAAAGAAATGAGTACTACTAGTTCTGCTCATATTGAGTTTGGTGTGAGGTTTATAAAGGCATTAAATTTAATTTGTATATCATTTTTCAGAATTCAGGCTATGCCAGTAGAGGTATTGTGTATTTGTGAATTAAGTATAGAAGCATCTGTATAAAAATATATATTAGTTGGTTCAAGAGATAGTAATTTTATGTGAAAGTTTATGAGTTGGTTTTGGTATATGGGATCAGATATTATGTTTTGTATTTAGAAGATTTCTGAGAAGAATAGTGAAAGTGATAGTAAAGATTTTGAAGCTAGTTTATATAGGTTTGCATGAATGTTTTGAAGTGCTTTGATTTCTTGATTGTTTATGTTAAGTTCAAAGTCTTGTTTTTTTTTTGGTATTTTACATTTAAGATTAATGGTTTGTTTATAATTATTTAAAGCATTGTTGATGTAGAAGAAATATGGATTGTGTTAGTTGTTAAGTTCATAATTTGATATTTTTAAAACAATACTTGAGAGTTAGATGTATAAGTTATTTTGCCAATATGCCAATCTGAAAATGAAATGTAAAGTGACCATATATTTTTCAAGATAGCAAATTAGGATATAATAAGATTTAATGTATTTAAAAATAAGTTAGTAAGTTGGAATTGAAGATTAGACCATATATGCAAAATAAAATGATCAGATATTTGCTTTGAAAGTATTTTAAACTATTTTGAAATAGGACCTCATAGAGATTTGAAAGTTCTGATATATATATTTTTTCAAAGAAGAAGGTTGTGATTATCAGCTATCAGTAATTATTCTAAAAAATGAATTCTATTGTTTTTAAGACTTAGAGTTGTTTTTTTTTTTTTTTTTTTCAGTATTAAGATGACCTTTTTGGTCTGAGCTTTTTATTAATACTTATAGTGGATACATGTTTTATATAAATGTATCTATAATGAACTATTAGACGAGTGTACAACTGGCTACATATGTAACTTTTTTATATTACCTATTTAAGGAGTCTGCTCAAGGGTTTCCTATCAGTTGCTGTATCTCACACTTCTGCTTAGGTGTTCTATTTAAACCCTCTGATCTAACCTTAGTATTAATTTCACCAGATCACAGACCCAGATTTATTCGTATTTGACCATAGGACTATAATCCTTAGACTATTTTTATCCTCGAGATAAACCTACCAGAGGAGCTATATTTTCTTTTACTGCTAACCAGGTTTGATGCTATGGCTAAGGCCAACACTTGCAGTCAGGTTTACCCCTTAAACTGCTATTACCCTTGTAAAGTTCACCCAAACCCTGGTACCTATCTTTCTGACTTCTTCTCTATTATCCTCTACTAGCCACAACTCGGAACTAACTGATTCACCAGACTCCCAATCCAGATGGCCTGGTATGGTTTACTTATATATCCTTTTCCTCCGATGATTCCAGCAGCCTGGTTGGTCATATGCTTATCTATATATCTTTTTCATCCAGTTTACCTAATCAGTTCCTATGAAGATATTTTATAAGCTTCCATCAGTCCAATGGCACTATCGAAAGTTTGTGCTATCTCTTTATTCAGGATTTCCAAGTGAGTTTCTGTCTCTTCAGTTTCTTAGCCTTCTATGCCCAGTGGTCTTATCATGGGTTTGCCCGAAGCCTTATATGACACCAGTTTTATATTCCTCTATGTACATGTACCATGTAACATTACATTTCGCATAGATGCCCTGAGCTTCCAATGTCAGATGGGACCTGACTTGGTGTATCTAAGATTACAGATGCCCAAAATTCAACTGATTGGCAAGAGACAGTTACCATAACATAGATATAATTTCCAAAATTTGTCGTCTATGAGAATTGAACCTTAGACCTGCCACTTGAGGGTTGACAACCTATTCACTTCATTAGGTCACCACACCCAAGATTTAGAGTTGTTGAATTGTTAGAAATTGTAATAAAATTATAAATGTTGTTCAGTTGGTTAATGTTTTTGTAAATTATTAATTAATTTAGATAGGTGTTGTTAATAGAGATATTATTTTTATAAAGATGATAAAGTTAAATTTTTTATAATTAATTAGAATTGTATACTGGGTTAGAGATGGTTTCTATATTTTAAAAAGCCAATCCTTGACCTGATATATAAAGATTTGATTTAGAAGTATGTTAGTATTGAAGCATCTTTCTATATTACTGCTACTAACTTATAGTATAAGTTTGTTGAGTGTTGGAATGTTGAGTAGTTGTAGATTGGTAAGTATATTATTGTTTGTATTAGTAGATAGGTGTAATATATGTTTAGTACATTTTATTAGAAGACTTGATAGTTATTGGAGTTTGTTTTGTAAAGAAGAACATATTTAGAGTAAATATTCGATTAATGATAATAAGATAGTATTAAACAGTTGGAATATTTGTATAGAAAGAAGTTTTTTGTATTGAATAGTATAAATAAACTGAGAAGTTTTGCTAAAAATTTTTTCAAGTGTGGGTTTAGTTGAGCCTTTGGCATCTAAAAATATTCCTAGATATCTTATTATTTTATTAGGTTAGTGAGATAAAATTAGTTCATTGTTAAAATTTAGAAGTGTTATAGTTGAAATGTTATTGAATAATATTTTTTTGTTAGATGAGATATGAATAAGGTCTGATTTGGATAAGTTAACTTGAATATTGTTTAGTTGATATAGTTTAGATATGTCATTTAGAATCTCTTACAGATTATTTTTAGATTTGCAGTACCAGACTATATCATCTATAAAGACTAAAAGTGATATTGTTATATAAGTTGGTATAGTTAAAAAGATTGTTCTAAAAGAGATTGTGATGATATTTTGAAAAGTTTTGAGCTATATTTTGAGTTAATATAACTAAGAATAGGGTCATAATAAATTTTCAGAGTAATAAAAAGTAGGTTTCTCCTTGTTCTATGTCTAAATAAAGTGTAATTAGGTTAGTAGAGTCATAGGCTGTGATTGCTCTGGCTTTCCTATCTTAGTATAGATATTTAATAAAGTTAAGTTCAGATTGGAGAATGCCAATAAGTTTGCAAACATCTAGTAGGTGTTTAATATTGATTTGATCAAAAGCTTTAGACATGTCTTGAAAGAGTATCTATGCCTTTTTGTTGCTAGTTTTGTAATGTTCTATTGTGTTAATTAATATTTGTATAGGAATGTATATAAAACTGTTTTTAGTTGCTGCAAAGTTAAGATCATTTAGTAGGTAATATTGATTAATAATTTGATTGAAACATGTGGTAAAAAATTTTGTAAGACATTTTTTGATAGGTTTAATAAGAGAAATTGGTCTAATTTGATCTAAAGTAAAGTTCCATGTAGATTTTTTTGGTATTAGAAAAATGTTAGATGTTTTTCATATTGTTGGTATTTGTTGTAATAAAAGACATTTTGTTAGAAATAGTCAGATAATATTTTGGGCTTTGAAGTTTAGGTATTTTAAATATTTATAATTTGTTTTGATGGGCCTGCAGCCTTTTGGTTTGGAAGATCATGTATAACTTTGTTCTATTCTTCTAAAGAGATTTCTAAAAATAGGTTATTAAAAAGAGGTTTATTTTTTAGATAAGGTTTGTAGAATTTATAAAATTTTGAGTTTTCTTCTATTAGTATATATGATAGTTTTTTAAAGTAAGATTATAAGACTTGTTTTATTTCAGATAGTTGAGTAGTGAGTATATTGTTAGATAATAGACAGTCTAAGTTGATACTGTTATTTGTTTTTTCTAAAACATTTTGAAAGAAAATTTTTGGGTTTTAATAAAAGTTGACTTTTTTTTCTTCCAGTTTGTTTTAGATTTCTTTTAGAGTATTTTTTTGTTTTTCTTTATAAATTTGTATTTTAAGAGTTTTTATTTTTATAGTAAGTAAGTTTAATAATGTAGTAGAGTCAGGGTTATTAGTAGTTTGTATCAAGTATAAGGATGGTAGTAAGGTGTTTTGTAAATATTTTTTAATGTATAGATTGTATGTTTGTGAAAAGTTAGATTTATTAAAAAATAATTTAAGTGAGATTGTCTGTTTTAGTTATTTGTATAGTGGTGAAAGAAAGGGTGGTTGTTGTTCATTATAGTATAGGTTTATTTTGATTCTTTTAAATGAAATATGTTTTTGGGCTGCTTTGGTTAGAGCTTTATTAATTTTATTTCAAGTATTGTTAAGTTCAGAGTTATAAGTAATATTAGTAATGACTGTAAGGAGTTTTAAAAGTTTTGTTCAGTATAACTTTGGTAATTTTTGATTTGTTTATTTTGTATAAGTTTTCATAAAAGATAGTTTTTAATTGGAGTTGTTGTATATTAATTTTAGGTATATTGATTGTAAGTTTGAGTAATACTATTGAGTGATCAGTTGCAGTAAATGCATTTGGTAAAATGTCAGCATAGTCTAAAAGTGTAATATGAATATTAGTTTATATTTGGTCAATTCTACTATGACTGTTATTGTGTATATAGAAGAATGTGGGTATTAATGAAAAGAAGAGCCTGAGATGTCATAAAATTGGAGGAATTTGAGTATTCTTAGAAAAGAATGTTCAGATGTAGTTGTGCTTTTTTGTGGTAGTATATCTAGTTTAGAATTTGACTCCATTTAGGTCTTCTATTAGAATTATTTTGTAGTTGGTTATATTAAAGATAGGAGTAAGGTATTAAAGAATGTCTTTTCAGAGTTGTTTTTTTCTTGAATTAGAAAGTAAAGTTGGATTAGTTTGATATGAAGATTTTTGAGAAATATGTCAATTTCTAGAAGAAAGTTTTTGTATGTTTGTATTTTTCCAATATGTTTTGCTAGTAATTTGTGGATTAATATTCCTACACTGCTCTGGCAAGCATTACTTGATATCCAAAAGCATTTGTAGTTTCTAAGTTTTTACAAGAGTATTGAGAACATTGCTTCTTTGCTAGATAGACATGTTTCTGAAATTCTGAAAATATCAATTTGATTTTCTGAAATAAAATTGATTAGACTTAGTTGTTTGAAGTTATCAAGAAGACCATTAATATTTAGTAAATGTATTTTAATTAATTTTGTAATATTTGGATTTTTAGGAAGTAAGATGTTATTGTTTATATGTATTATAATAGAGGAAGGTTTAGGAGATATTGGTGTTGTAGATAAAAAAAAGTTTTAACATTTTGAGAGAGAAGGTATTTTGAATTTTGCTGAAGTATAATTTGTTTTAAATAGAACATTTTGAAAGTTTGTAAGATTTTCAAAAGAAATATTAGTAAAGTTAGATAGAGGATTAGTTTCTTGTAGAAGGTGAATATGTGCTTCTTTGAATATATTGTTTTTAGATGTTTTAATAGAAATTTTTATATATTGTTCTAAATAGTATTTGGATATTCATTTTGAATAAATTTTAGAAATGAGTCTATTGATTGTGATGAAGGAGGAGTTGTAGGTTATAAAAGAAAAAAAATTTGTTGAAGCAAGTTAAAGGATTGTATATTTTTTGAAAGGTCAAGAATTTGGATAAAGGTTTTCTTTTAATAGTTTTTGTAGTTGTTGAATCGATAGTATCATTTGAATCTTCTGTTAATAATTCATAGTCAATATTAGTAGTTTTAGAATTTAATAGAGTATTAATAAAAATATTAGGTATTTGTAATTTTTAAGAAGTAGATGTAAAAAATTTTTCTGAAAAAGAATTCTCAAAAAAATATAATAAGTTGTTATCTAAGAAGTTAGATTTTTCTTCTATAGATGTGCTCACTATATACTCAGTTTTTACAATTGCAAAGAATATTATAGACTGCTTTGTACATTGGCTCTGATCATTATTAATTTGGTCCTTTGCATAAATAGCCTTTTCTGCCTATCTACTTACATTATTCTCTTTCAATAATGGCACACTTTTATTGATAGACATCCTTATTTTGAAAATGGCAGCTGTATTAATGTTATCTATAGAAGAATTTATTGAAAAAGTGAACTAAAGGTAGCAGTTAAGGATAGGAAAAGAGTAACATTATGTATAGAAGAGATTTTAATATCATAATATTTAATAATAAATTTTTCATTTTTAAAAAGTATTTTTGATTATAATTAAGTTAAATTTATATAATAAAGAATTTAGATTGGTTTTGAGTATGAAAATAAAGAATTTTGCATGCTAAGATATGTGAATTAATAGTAGGTGAAATGAATTTTTCTAAAGCTTGATTAAATTCAAGACCTGTAATACTATCATTAATGGCTACAGTATTTAAATAAGTTTTGAGATAAGAATAAAGATAAAATGTAATATGTTTAGAATTAGTTTCTGTAATATTGATTTCTGCAAACTTTTGGTCTGCTTTAAGTGCAAGTTCATTTAGCATATGAAATAAGATAATTTTTTTGAAAGTTGCTATGTATTGTTAATTTGGTAGAAAAATTGAGTAGTCAGAAGTAAAGGGTGTTGTTTTAGAAGTAGTATTTTCTTTTAAGAATACCAGAAAGGTTTCAAAGAATTTGTCAAAGAAGTAAGTAGAAATGTTTTTGAAGTTATGTTCTATATCTTTTGGTAAGAGTTTACAGTCCTTGTCTTTGCATGTGTAAACATGAAAGAGTGCTATTTTGGTAGTTAGAAAAGAGTGCTTTTGAAGAGAGTAGGTTCTGTAATTTGAAAGTCTAAAAATAGAAATTTTTTGCATTTCTCAATAAGTGGTGTTGCAATTTGATATTTAATATAGTTTTTGACTTTGTCTTCATTGATGTCAGTAAATTGTTTTTAGTAAGCTTTAAAAAAGTCTGCATACCATGTATTAAAAATATGAATATATGGTTTAAGTAATAGGATTTGAAAAGTATTAGCAAATTAGATTTAGAAATGTTAAAAGTAACAGTAATCATAAATTGGTTATTATTATAAATACTGAATAAGGTTTTGAAACATCATATTCAAAATTATATTTCAATAAGAGTTTAAGAGGGCAAAGCTCTAACTTTTTAACAAATTTTTAATAATGAATTGTTTGGTATTTGATTGCTACTTTACATCGATCAGAAATTAAATAAAATGAAATTGAGTAATAAGAATGAAAGATATATAGATAATCAAGTTTTGTAAAAAATAATTTAGTAAATTTGGTAAGTAAATGTTAAGTATTAAAATATAGGCATATTGAGGAATATTAAGTTGGAAAGAGAGTGATTAATTAGATTGGCAAAGAAAGTCAATGAGAAATTCTAGTCTTTCTGCTGTTATAGATTTAAGTAGATAATTAAAACTTTGTTTTTGAGAAAATTTTTGATTTGAAGTTAATTGAGTATTATTTAGAATAGTTGGAATTGGTTGCTCTGGAATAAATTTGTAAAGATGAATTTTAGAAAAATTAAAAAGTTGTTGAGCAAGTTTTGTATTAAATTTTGTATTTTGTTTTATATATTTAGTAATAGAGTAATTAAGAAACCAGTCTAAATCTTTAGAAGTATCTATGGTTTGGTTTGGTGTATTTTTTAGTTGCTATTGTTTTTGTTTTAATTTAGGTTGTTGTTTAATTTTTTGTCTTTAAAAGTAAGTTTTTGAAGAAGTTTGATTTTTTCTTCTTCGATAAATTTGAAAAATAGTAAAAGTAAAAAATAGAATATTGTTCTTTAGTAAGTTCTTTGGTTTGAGAAAGAGGTTTAAGTTTAGTGTATTGAAGACTATTAACACAGTCTTGATGATATAAAAAATCTTTAAAGATTATAACTTAAAAATAGTCAGGTGCATGATGTAAGTTTTGAATAGGAATACAAGGAATATCTTTCTTTTTATATAAGATGCATGAGTGGTAGTGTTGAGAATATAAAATGATTGCTATAGATGATAGTTTTGTATAAAAAGAGGATAGTAAAATTTGAGAAGTTGATTAAAGGTTTTATTATTGTTTAGTAATAGATAATTTAGATAATTTATTGACAATGTTGTTAAATTAGTTTTTAGAGATAACAATAGTTGAAGAGATATCTATTGCAGTTGATTTAGAAGTTTGTTGAAGAGGTGTAATATAAGTAGTTTTGTAATGTTTAGAGATAAAATTTATATGAAATTTGTTACAAAGACAAGTAGATAAGGTAGGTTGAATTGGCATTTGAAAGTAATATTATTACTTATTGGTTTTATATTTTGTGAATTTAATATCTTTGGGTAAAATGTATAAATTGAGTAGATCAGATTTTTTGATACTAATACCAAAGCAATCTGAATATTTGTTATAATAATAGTTTAAGTCATAAGAAGCAGGTTCATTTGTGGTTAAGGTAGCCATTCTGGTTTGTTATTTTTATAAAAATATTAAAGAGAATAATGATAGCTTCAAAAGAAAGCAATTTTTAGTTCATGTAATGTTACACTCTCTGTATTACTTTTTTGTAGTTGGTATAACTATGACTGATGTGGCTGGTGGCTGGTGTGACTGGTATGGCTGGTAGTACAGTATGGCTTGTGTAACTTCTGCTAAAAATAGTATAAAGTATACACAAGGTTGTATAATTTTAAAATTAATACAAATTTGTAATTATTAGTTTTGTATAAATTAATTAAAGATTTAAAAGAAAATAATTATAAAATAATTATCAATTGATTGAACTAATGATATGTGGTATTTTAAAACATGTTTGGGTCCAGATTTGAAGAGGGTAAAGAGAAAAGAATTAAATTTTAAAAAAAATTTTTTAAATTTTTAGAGAATATAGTCACTTAAAGTTTTTTGCTTATAAAATAGTCAATTTTTAACCATTTTTGATAAAAGTTATAGTAAATTGAAGCCTAAAATGAGCTGTACAACTTTGTTATAAGGGACAAGACAAGTTTCCTAGGCCGAATTTGAGTATAAGAGCTTTGAAATTATTTTAAAATAAAGTTAAATAATTTATTTAATATTTAAGTTAGTGATATAAAATTTTGTAAATATATATAAATTTAAGTAATAAACAGTTTAATATAGTTTTTAAGAATATTTAATTATAGTTTGTTAAAGAAAATAAAAATTTTCTTTGGCAGAATTTTGGTACAAGTGATCATCAAAAAGAGTTAGCAATTTGTGTCCTCAACTAATAAACTTATAAATTATAATTTTAATATAACAAAAGATCCTAAACTAACAAATAAGATCTTTAGATTTATTAATATCTTAAAATAAAAAGTCACAACTGAATAGAAAATAGCACTAAAGTTATGTTATTTCTGTAATAATAAAGATTATATAAAAAAAACTATAATTAATTAAAGTTTAAATGACATTATAAAGAGTTCTATGAATCCAAAAAAAAACAAAAAAGTAGAAAAAACAGATATATCTAATATATAAAGCTTTCTGAAAAAGAAATTAAAAACAGTAATACAAAATTGAACTTAGAAAAAAACCTAATAAAAATTTTATATTTATAAAAAAAAGATATCACAATTAGTTTTAAAAACTCTAATTTAGTAATAATACAAAAAAAATCAAAGATTAAAACAGAAATAACTGTTTTCTATTCAGATTCACAAAATGTTGATAGAAAGATGATTAGTAAGTTAAATTATTAAACAATTTTGTTAAGCAAAAGCCAAATACAAAAAATAAAAATAGTAAATTATACATGCAGAATTAGACAATATAGTAGCTTTAAAAAGTAATAAAAAACTTATAAAGATTTTACAAAAGTAATCTATAAAAAAAAAAGAACAAAAATATTTCAAAAGAAATAAGTATTAATTTTTACAAAAAACTAAAAAAAAATTTTAAAAAATAAAAACCTATCTTACAATAGTAACTTTAAATATAAAAGACCTTAATAATAAGAATAAATATCACAGAACATTAATATTAATCAAAAATTATAACTTAAATATAATCTTTTTATAGGAAATTAACTTAAAAAATAAGAAAAATTAAGACTTTATTTTTTTTTTTTTTTTTTTTTTTTTTTTTAAGAGTGAGGCCTGGCCTCGGTCTTTATTGAACAATTTGGTATT